CTCTTCTGCAGTATGATGTCCCACCACTGCACTGAGGGTGTGTGGAAAGTGAAGAAAACTCTGCTTCTAGATGGCGGGACACCCGTGGAGGAGGCCTCCCCGCCCCATGTGCCGTTCTGTTTATTTCAGTGGAAAGTTCTTCGGCAGGAAAGCCGTTATCCTAGGAAAACTAAAGGCAGATCTATTAGTGGTACTGTTATTGATCTTAAAAAGATAAGAAGCAAGCTACAGTGGGAATATAGATTACCTTCTCTCTCCGTCTAGTCATTGCCCTGGCTTCTCCGGAGCCGCCACAGCCACATGGCTGGGGTATTTCTGGGACAATATAAAAGGGAAAAAGCTAAAATTTAAAAAGTCAGTCCACGTTCCATCTGGACAAGAATCCCAGCCTAACGAGGGTCCCGCATCAAGGATGTGCGTGGGAGGGCCAGGTGCCTTCACAGTCTGGATGCGGCGGTCTTCAAGCCTTTCTCTCGCATCACCTGTAAACAGTTCTGAGCGAGACGCCTCCCTGAATGAAGAAGGCAGCAGGGAGGCTGTGCCCCCTGCACCCCCCTCCTTACCCCCTACGCTTTGCCGGCCGCAACCCTGCAAGCTCTCAGCACCATTTGAGCGCATTAAGCAGCCAGCTCTCTGGTGACATAGCAATTAGGGGTCTGAAATAGATTTGGTGCGTCACGGAGGATAAGGGCTTTGAAAGTTTCTGTTGTGATTACAGCTTGTACCTCCCACAAATAATAGGCTTCAAAATAAGTGGCTGCCAGCGCGGCCTTTGTGGCTTTGTCTCAGTGATGGCATGTAAGTTGCTATTACTGTCCTCGCTGTACTTGAATATGCCAGTCTCTGGGCGTGGAGTTGGCTCTCTGTCTCTCCGCGGCATGTCACTGGGTCTGGTTATCTGGGGTGATGGCTGTGTGGATGGCAGACAAGTGAGAGGGGCTTCAGCTGCCGTGTGATGGTCAGTGGCCTTGAGGTGTCCACCCCGAGTGATGTGTGTGCTCCGTGGAGACCCCATCACGTGGAAGTATGTGTGTAGCCTCCATGTGCACCGTGAGTAAAGGATATCTTTCAACAAAGCAAAGCAAAATCAGAGGTTATAAGAATAAAACGAAGAACTTAGGGCTGTAGAAAGTCAGCCCATCAGATCACTTATACTGAGAGTAAAACAATTGCCCTTTGCTTGAATTACCCAGATTTGGCTATGAGTAAACATAATAGTCTCTTACAGCTTTCTTCCCGCAGCGTGTGTGTGTGTCTGCACGCGCACGCTCATTCCTGGGGTGCTGTATGTTCTGAATGTGTGCTCAGTCTATGAGAATACATGCATGTGTGTTCTGCACACTGTGCCGATGTGTGTAAGGGGACATGTTTGGGATTTTGCAGGTCTGAGTGCGGAGGGTGTCTATTCAGATAGAAATAGTTTTCTGTCCTAAGACACCTCTATTTAGCCCAGAAAAACTGAGCTTTTTTTTTCTCTCTCTCTCTCTCTGAAAAGTTAAATTAAACAATTCGTAAGTTTTAACTTCCTGTGTATACATCAAACCTATGGAGTCTGCAGGATGTGGAAACATTCTGCGTAACAGTCACATTTGCACTTTTAATAGAAATAAGAAAACACCTGACCCTAAAACTGGGAACTGTACCCACGTGAGGGGACAGCCTCGACCAGCCCCTCCCGTGTCCCATGTTCCTGACATGGCGGCATGAATGCTGGGTGTTCGCCACAGGTGAAATAGAAAAGAATGACACTAAGAAGGTGCCAGGGTAGATCTTGATCCCAGAGCCCACTGAGAGGTGCCCTCCAGTTGGATGGCGCTAGGTGCTGGCAGGATGGTGCTGGTGGGCCCATTGGCAGGTAGGGTTGTGTCTGTATTGTGACAGGGAACCCATAGATGGCAGTTAGAGTGCGTGGCACAGAAGGTTGAAGAAGTGACTTGTAACAAGAGAGTTCACATGTTACCAATGGAAATGGGGCAGGTTGACCGTCTTACTGTACAGTCTCGGCCAGGACCCCACAGTGTGGTGTAAGAGAAGCCGAGCTGACCAGCAGTGTGGTCCTGCACAGGATGGCATGTCAGGAAGTAAACCTGGGTGTATATGTCTCAGTACAGGCTGTCAAGGCCCTCGCAGGTATTTCCTGGGTGTACACGGCTAAGTACAGGCCGCCAGGCTCTCCCAGCTGTTTTCTGGGCTTACGTGGCCAAGTACAGGCCGCCAGGCTCTCTTAGCTGTTTCCTGGGCGTACATGGCCAAGTACAGGCCGCCAGGCGCTCTCAGCTGTTTCCTGAGCGTACATGGCCAAGTACAGGCCGCCAGGCTCTCTCAGCTGTTTCCTGAGCGTACATGGCCAAGTACAGGCCGCCAGGCTCGCTCAGCTGTTTCCTGGGCGTACATGGCCAAGTACAGGCCGCCAGGCTCGCTCAGCTGTTTCCTGAGCGTACATGGCCAAGTACAGGCCGCCAGGCTCGCTCAGCTGTTTCCTGGACCTACATGGCCAAGTAGCGGCCGCCAGGCTCTCTTAGCTGTTTCCTGGGCGTGCATGGCCAAGTACAGGCCGCCAGGCTCTCCCAGCTGTTTCCTGGGCTTACATGGCCAAGTACAGGCAGCCAGGCTCTCTCAGCTGTTTCCTGGACCTACATGGCCAAGTACAGGCGGCCAGGCTCTCTCAGCTGTTTCCTGGGTGTACATGGCCAAGTACAGGCAGCCACACTCTCTCAGTTCTTTCCTGGGCCTACATGGCTTGGTATAAATGCTCATGGAGGTCACCCACCTGAGACCATATATCTCTCCACAGCCAGTGCCAGTACATGTTCCCTCATGTCTTCGCTTGTCCCTCTCGGACATTGTCTAACATCTGTGAGGTGCAGGCACTGGGAGGCAGCGTGGAATCGGCCAGGAGCCCCACAGTGGTGCTCATGGTCTGGCAGGCGAGGACATGCCATGGCAGCACCAGTGCCTTGTGATGTGACAGAGGACAGGGCTGCCCCCAGGAGACCATGCTAGGGGCACATGGGACACGTGCGCACCCTCAAGGTGGAGACAGCAGGTGTGGGTGGTGGGGACTGGGTGAGCGGTCCTCTGCTATGGGAACTCCTGAGTGGCGGGAGGGGGTATTGAAGCATGAACCACGAGCATTGAGCAGGGCAGGAAGCACAGGCCTGAAGGGGACATGGACCCTCAGCTCGAAGCCACTGAAGGTGGAAGAGGGGTGGGGAGGAGGTCAGAGCTGCATTTTTAAAGGTCGCAGCTCTTTAAAAGAGGTGGGTCTGCAGTGGCCAGGCTGAGATTTCCCAGGGAGCATCCTGGCAACTCCGGGCAGCTCTCGGAAAGCTCCCTGTAAAATGTTGGGGAAACTGCCTGCCGGAACCTGGTTGCTCCAGCTACTTCAGTGGGAAATGGTGGCTCTGGCCGTGCCTGCCCTTGTGAGCGTGTGGGTGCCTGTGCGGGTCACAGGGGTGGGGCCTCTGTGTCTGTGTTTCCCTCCCTGGCCGCCCACCAGCGCCGGGGACAGCCCTGAGCTCTCCCCCGGCCTGCCATGCCCGAGTCTGGGCTGCTGGCATCTGCCTGTGTGCAGGCCGAGCTCCTCACAGTGCTGACATCAGCCGCTTTGTGGCACCTCAGCGAGTTCTGGGCTGCAAATGAGAGTTTCTCAGTGCCAGGCTCACTTGGCTGTCACATCCGGTGATGAATTCTCTGCATCAACCCTGTGCTACTAAGGGGAGTTCAGAGGAAGGAGGGGAGGAAGGGCGGGCCTCAGCCCAGCGTCACTGCTCTGGGTCACAGTCAGCTGCATGGATGCTCAGGACCCAGGCAGGTGGCCCCTGAGCCAGCTCAGGGCAGGTGCAGGGAGAGGAGATCAGGGCAGGTGCAGGGAGGGGATGAGGGCAAGTTCAGGGAGAGAGGGGATCAGGGCAGGTGCAGGGAGAGAGGGGATCAGGGCAGGTGCAGGGAGATCAGGGCAGGTGCAGGGAGGGGATCAGGGCAAGTGCAGGGAGAGAGGGGGTCAGGGCAGGTGCAGGGAGAGGGGATCAGGGCAGGTGCAGGGAGAGGGGATCAGGGCAGGTGCAGGGAGGAGCTGCCTCCCCAATGCCATAGTCACCCCTGCCCCGTGACCCCAGATATTCCAGGAGCGTCAGGCCTGGTCGGGGCCTCCATCGTGTGTTCGGAGCCGAGGGCTGTTATCTGGGAGGGAAGAAGATTAGTGCCTTTCGCACACACCGTCCATGGGAGATCGAGGGCGGGGTCACGAAGTCACCGCCGCAGCACGTCTGGCCGGGCTATCCGAGTGCCGGGTCCTTGTAGGGGTGCTCACTGACGCAGGTCCTGTGGGAACCGTGTTGCTATTTGGATGCTCGGACTGAGTGTTAGGAAAAGAAGGTACAAATGGAGACCAAGCATCAGCGCCCGGCTCACCCCCTCGAGACATCTTCCCACCGGCCAGGCCGGGGCGCTGGCTGAGCCCTCTTCTCCCGGGTCGCCCTCTGTACTTTTAGAGGTGCCTCCTCAAGACGGGGTTCACCTCCCTGGAACCCTCTTCCCAGGGCTGTGCATTGCTGGGTCCTGCCTTGAGTCCTAGTTCCCCCAGGTGTGGCCAGTGCCCGCTGAGAACAGGAACGGCCCCCAGCCATTGACATGTGCCAGAGGCGCCTGGGACCCGGGGCTTGGAAGGGCCCTTCGGAGGCAGTTGGCAGCCTTTTTGTTTTTCTCACGGGGGACTCGGAGCCAAAGGGGTGGGAGTGCCGGCCAGTGTCAGGACCGGGACTCGGGCCCCTGGACCTGCAGGGCAGGTGGTCTCACCTGACGGAGGTGCAGGACTTGGTATCACAGGCACAGGGGAGGCTCCAGCCACTGACGGGACGGGGGAGCGACCACAGGGACAGCCTGCTGACCAGTGCCCCCTGGCAGGCCCTGAGCCGCCTTCTCAAGGCTCCACCTTGTCATCGTCATCATGTGCTCCCACCGCCCCTCACAGCCTGACTTCTCTCCTTCTTCCCTTCTAGGCTAATGGAGGTTGGCAGGATGCGACTACCCCCTCATCAGTGACGTCCCCTACAGAAGGCCCTGGCAGCGTTCACTCCGACACCTCCAACTGACCTCCCTGCACGCGCATCCCGGCTGACCCTGCGCCCGGCAGGCGGGGCCGGAGGGAGGGTCTCCCACGCTGAAGCGGTCAGACCGGAGGCGCAGCCATCAGCAGCCACCATGAGCTCCTCCCTCTCCTCCCGGGAGGCCCTCCGGCCAATCTGGACACTTCTTTATACTCTGTCCCTTTTTCTGGGTAGAAGCCAGCCTTCCCTGCCAGCAGCATCAGCCTGGTGCCCTCCGCCCCTGCCCCTGCCTTCCACTCCCTGGGCCCCTGCCCGCTACATGTCACTGAAGGATATTTTCAACAATTAGAGGAATTTAAAGAGGGAGAAAATGCAAAGAAAACAATAAAAGCATTTGTATGTTTTCACGCTGGTGGTATGAGGAGCCACGTTACCTCATCGAGCCCCGTGCCAGGCAGCCCTGTCTCTCGTCACTCACTACCTCTCACAGGAACCACCCCGCTGCCCTGCTCCTCGGCCTCCCCCACCCGCTGCCTCCCAGCCCGGCTTCCCTGGGTCCTGCCATAGCCGGGCTCCCGAAGGCGCTATGTCCTGGGTTCGGCTCTGCCAGGTAGATGCCAGGCAGGAAGTCAGCGACAGGAGAGGGCGCGGCTTCGGAGGCAGCGTCCCAGCTTCTCGTCCTCGGACAGCTCCTGGTTTCAGAGGCGGACTTGGGGGACCAGATGCTGCAGAGCCAGGTGTGGGTCAGCGTGGTGCCAGGTGCATCACAGAGTGGGAGGTTCTCTCCTGAACCCTCCCCTCACATGCACGTGCACACATACCTGTAGGCACATGCACAGGCTCTCACATGCACCACCCCACGATCAGCCACATGCCTCATACATATGCCTACATTAGTAACCATGCCACCTGCCTTGTGAGCCCATGAGAGGGACTCTGTGAAGGACACAGACAAGCAGCCTGCAGGGTCCAGGACCGGCGGCCCCAGCACGAACACACACACACGCACACACACACACACACACACCAGAACCACCCAACAGGGCAGGCCAGCTCCCAGGGTCCCTCCCTGCTGGCTCTGCCTGAGCCTCAGGCGCGGGCACGCGTGTGGTAGAGTGCTCTGTTCTGTTTTTGTCTGGGCGCTAGGGACCTGCCATGAACTGTTCAGTTCTGTGCGCCGTGTCTGGGTCTGGAGGACACGGTGGCGTGAGAGCTCGGCGCGGTACCTGTTCGCTGGCTTGTCTGAGGACCTGTGAGTGGCGGAGGCGGGAGGTCCCGGTCTCAGCGAACTCCTCAGGTGACAGTCACGCTGTGGGCCTGTCCAGGGAGACACGCAGGGAAGCTGTTCTCTGATGTCGCCTGTCGAGTGGGCGGTGCTCAGCTCTCTCAGGGCCTCCTCCCGGAACTGTGACATGCGGTCCTGGCCGGGCTTGCGAGACAGGACGCGGGGGCCCTTCTCCCCGAGCTGCAGGGTGAGGGCGGGAGCAGCGTCTCCGAGAGAAACTGGCTGAGGTCAGGCGGCCGCGGCTTTCCTGGTCTAACGTCTGGTCACATCGGCTCTGTCACCGCGGTGGCAAAGGCGGGTCATGGCTGGTGCTTGTTTGGTTGCTTTGGTCTGTTTGGCTCCTTAGAAGAGAGATAACCTCCCACATGGAAACGTCGGCCCTGGTTCTCTCAGTTTGTGCTTGAGTCTAATGTTGGCCTTGCCAGTGCTCAGGCCCGGCTGCTGCAGGGCTTCCAGGGCGTGGCCCTGAGGGCGGCTCCGAGTGGTGCACCTAATGGGCAGAAACCGCTCCCGCACGTGTTGGAGGGCGTGCGTGTTGGACGGGAGAACAGGGAGATGTTGGGATCATGCTGATGAGGAGCGTGAGGAAGCCACGTCGGGCCGCTGTGTACCCTGAGCCGTCACCGGGTCGGGCTCCACGCAGGGTGCCGAGGGCACCGCGTCTCCATCCAGCCGAGGAGACCCGTCTCGGGCAGGGACGCGCGGACGCAGGCACAGGGATACCTCGCGGACGCCTGACCTTGGGTGCAGGGTTCTCCTGGAGCCGCAGGAAAGCCCGGTTTGGGCTGAAGGATTTCCATTTCGGGTCAGTGGGAAGATGGGAGCAGAGCGCGGTGCCCGCCCTGCGGCAGCTGCACCCACACGCAGCCCTCTTTGCACCTTTCCTTTTCTCCCTCCACGGCCACTCTCACATCCACGTGGCGCCAGGGGGTCTCTCCAGTTAAGTAAACCCTGAGAGCACAGTCAGCCAGCAGGCGGGGTGGACAGAGGGCCTGTGGCGGGCAGCGCCCTGGAGCTCCTGCCCCTCAGGCGCCCCCACCCATGTGCCCAGGACTTCCCTTCCCAGGGACAGGGCAGCACGCAGCGTCCTGGCCACAGTGTTCCCTGGGGTCTGCCCACCTGTAACTGCTCATCGCCCCCTTTCCCATCCCTCGCTCCTGGGTGGGGTGCACCCCGCACACGCTTCTGCCCGGGGGCACCATCGTGACATGGTTTTATTTGGCTGCTGGCTGCCTTTTCTCTCACTTGCCCTCCCCCCTTCCCTTCTGAGTTTTATTTTTCTGCCCAGAAAAAACCTGACTTCGATACCAAAAAAAGATAAAACTACAGAAACTCAAATTTAAAGAAAACTTTTTAAAAAAATACTCAACAATCCTCTCAGCTTTATTAACATTTTCCATTGTTTCTTGCGACTCGTGTCTTGTTCTTTGTAGTACTGATGACGAACATTTGATAATGAATGTTCTTGTATATTCAGATAAAGGGAAAAAAACCAAAAAAGCGGTCTGGATTTAATAGTGTTTATAATAAAAATTTTACAAATGACCCTCACAGCACGAAAAGCAGGACGGGGTCGCCTCCGTGCCCACGCCCTCATCTCCACGTCTGTTTTCACACGGAACGACCCGCATTGGCCATGCTCCCCATTTCTCTTTTATTTTCTTGCATTTGTGAATTAGTTCAAGAATGCTAGACAAGTGTCGAGTTGTGCACACCCATTTCCTGTTCCACGATGTTTGAAAGTGACCGTAATTCATTTTGTAAACTAAAAAAAGAAAAAAAGAAAAAAAAAGTTGGGATAGTGAGCATCATAGAGGTACAACCTAACATGTTATTATGTTTCTTAACTTTGAGACCCAGAAATGAATTCTTTTTTTCCCCTTTATTCCTGCTCTTGAAAATGTAACAAAAAGAATGATGTTTTGTTTTGTGTTATTTTTGGTTTGTTCATAGGGGTGCTTTTTTTTTAATTGTCAGGAGTATGATCTTGCTGTTTTTTTCCTTACACATGTACCAAGGCGATGTGAAAAGAGGGCAGCCAGACAGCGGCTGTTTCTTGCTGCCTCAGTTTTGTCCCAAACTGAGCTGATGTCGCAGAGATCAGGCCCCTGTGGACATCACGTTGCTCACCTGCACCTGGAGTGAGTGCGCACCTGCAGGCGAGGCTGGGCAGCCAGGGTGCCTCCCCCGGCCCAGGGGACTTTTCTTGCAGAGTCCCCGGGCGGTGGGGTGGCACCGGGATGGGCTGGGGGTCCTGGCTTTGAACAGGGTCCCGGATGTTATTCTCACGCAGCCTTTTGGCCGCCGTGCAGCACACGGTGAGACTGGCTGGACTCGGACGCTTTTTTAGTTCCAGGAGAAAAGAAGGCGGTATTATCAGGAAGGAACTCTCTTTGAAACTCTGTCATTTAACAAATGACTGCGAGTTCCGAAAGCAGCCAGCACCCAGGTGAGGAAAGTGGAGAGTCAGAGCCAGGCAGCAGCACTTCCTGGCAGTTTCTACCGGAACCGCCGTCTGCTGGTTCTGTCACAGCCGAACGGCCGCTGGTTCTGTCACAGCCGAACGGCCGCGCGCTTTTCACATCGCCTTGATGGTTCACTCCCTTGTGCAAAGCTTTCTGGAACCTTATTTTTTGTAACCTTTTTTTTTTGCCTTTTGTTAAAATAAATGAAACATTCAATGTGTTCCCCCTTTTCTCGCCTCCTCCTTCCCTTCCCTTTGGCGCTTCCAGTTATTTTGAAGTGTTTCCCTCGGCTGTTGGTTTTATCTCTGCTTCCTACCCTGCTCTTATATCAGAGTGTAACCCTGCGAAGCTCTGCCCTGTTTGGTTTGAAAGTTGAGCTTTTCTGCTTCTGTGAGCACTGGCTTCGTTCCTTTGATCCGACGGAAGCTCTGTGTTCTCGATGATGATACTAACACGGTGTAGATTTTACAGTCTCCTAATTTGTACTGGTAATGCATATTCCAAATAAATAGTTTCTTTTGTTGCAAAAAAAAATACACTTGTGTGTGGTGTAAGCGTTCTCTTTCACATGCTGTCTCTTTTCTTCCCCCAGCGGAGGGCCGGGACTGTTCGGACTGTGGTCTGTCACCCTAATCATCTTACAGTCTAGTTACAGCCGTGGGCAAACTACGGCCCGCGGGCCTGTTTGAAATCAATAAAACTATTGAAAAAAAAGACCGTACCCTATGTAATGATGTTTACTTTGAATTTATATTAGTTCACACAAACACTCCATCCATGCTTTTGTTCCGGCCCTCTGGTCCAGTTTAAGAACCCATTGTGGCCCTCGAGTCAAAAAGTTTGCCCACCCCTGTACGTGGCCCTGGGGCCGCTGACTCGGCCACGGACCTCACGCAGGAAGGAAGGATTTTTTATCCTCACCTGAGGATGATCTTTATTGATTGGAGAGAGAGAGAAAGGGAAGCATGAAACATCGATCAGCTGCCTCCTGCACGCCCCCTACTGGGGATCGAGCCCAAAACCTAGGCATGTGCCCTGACTGGGAATTGAACTGGCAACCTTTCAGTGCATGGGAGGATGCCCAACCCACTGAGCCACCCCGGCCAGGGCGGAAGAAAGGACCTTGTATTGGAAAAAGTAGCCGTGCTGCAGGAGGGCAGAGCACCCCCTCTTGCCTGCTTGTCTGTCTGTGGCTGGTGTCCCCGCCCCCCCAAGCACCAGCTACAAGTCTAGGCAGGTGCTCATACAAATTTTAAGTCTGTGAGTCCGCTCTTTGCCAGCGACTCCAATTCCCTTCTCTTTGTGATTTGGTCCCAGGAAAATCATGGGACCTAAGAGATGTCCCCAGAGAAGGGACCAAGGTTGGAAGGGCTCTGCTCTCAGAAGCAGGGGGAGCCGCACAGGTCCACACACCCCCCTGAGTTGTGTCTGCTCCCGACGGACGCGCCTCTCCCCCGTTGTCGCACTCCCTGCGCCCCGACCTTTGGGGTCAGGGTCTGTTAGAAGTGGCGTCCGGTGTCCTGGCTGGGACAGCGCCCAGCCCGCAGTGCCAGGCAGTGGTGGGACTTGTATTCTGGCGGCCCACTGTGCCCCTGGGGCACCACCTGCACTGTTTCCAGGGCCAAGGGGACCGGTATATACCCAGTGTCCCCATCACCCTCTCACCTCATCACCGTTTGATTCTAATCAACAGAAAACAGCAAAGGAATGGAGAGTCAATGGGTTCAAATTATCGTTTTTATGAAGGGCCAGCCTGAGGGCTCCATGGCCTCAAAAGTATAAGTTCAGCTGCCAATGTTAGTGTTGAGAACATGGCCAGAGGACAGAGGCCTCGGGTCCCCTCTTCCAATCAGAACATTGGGACACAGGGTCCGGTGTGCAGGGTGGCTTCAGGCCACTTCCCTCCTCAGCTGCCCGGACTCCGTGGACCTACTCACCCCAACTCACCAACCAGAGTGATTACTGAACTGTCACAGCAACGTGACCAAAGGATACAATGTGTCCACAGCAGCACCCAGCCTGTTTCACCCGAGAGCCGGAGACATGCCCCAGTGGGTGCTGGCCTCGAGTCCAGGCGGTGCCTCCGGGATCCGGCTCCTCCCGGGCTGTGCCCCGCCCCCCAGGAATGTGCCCTTCCCCCCCCTCCAGTCCCAGAGGGGACAGGTGTGAGGGCTCACTTCTCCTTTCGCTCACGTTCCTAAACACCCTGGCCCCTGGCACTCAGCACACATGGGCGTTTGAGCAGCTGGCCACCTGCCACACTAGCGGCCAAGAGGAATAGGCCAGAGCAAAGCAGGCCCACGCTGCTCCCTGCACGGGACCCACCAGGAAAGCGGGTCATCCCTTCCCAGGCAGCTTCTGCTCTTCAGTGAGGAAGTTCCAGAAAGGGTGTGGCCCAGTCCTGTGCGCCCAACACTCCCTCCCCGCAACATGCTCCATGGGGGTGCTGTCTAAACTCGGGGCTCAGCACCAGCCTGCGGTCCTGGAGGCAGCCGTCCACCTTGGGCGGTCACTCCACTGGTTAATCGCTGCCTGGAGGGGTCCCCTGGGAGAGCCGAGTTCCAAGGCTTAAATGCACTAAATCTGAGGTGTTCCCCCATCGTGACTCCTGCCCGCGGTCCTCGCAGTTCTCCTCGCCTGCCCGGCTGAAGCCGGGTGACCAGAGCAGGAAACAGTGTGTGACCACCATGCGTCATCCAGAACGTAGCCTCCTCTGCAACGGCCCCGTGGGCAGGCAGGAGCGCGGGTCTTCTGAGCCCTCTCGGTGCGGGAGCCCAGGAGGGTGTTTCTTTAACCTGATGACTGGACTGGCGCTGGAGTGGGAGTGGGCGCCCCACTCTCCTGACTCCCAGAGAATCTCACGGTACAGTAGAGGGCGGCAGGGCCGCCAGCCCTGGGCCACTGAGGTTCAGCCCACTGTGGCAAACTCCCAGGCCCCTCTGGGCCATGTGGGTGGGAAGGTAAGTATAAAGGGCTGTGGCAGTGACCACACCCAGGCCACACACCTTGGACACTGTGGTCCTGGCGGACCTCCTGGGCCCGTGCAAAAGGCAGGTCGCCTGGAGCTCTGGACGCCTGGTCAGATCAGTAGGTCCACTTGTTAACACCCAGGTCACACTGCGCCCGGAGCTGAAGTCACTCTCTGCCCGGACGCTCAGCGCACGTCCAGGGCAGCTCAAGGCTCCTTGCCGTGCCACCTGATGGCACAGGCCCAGAGCTGGAGTGCCCTTGGTAGAGTCTCCACTACTGAGTGCCCAGAGAGAAACTGGAGTTCAAAATAAAACGCTTCTCTCCTTCTAAGTTCAAGCTCCAGGCAATGCCAGTCCACAGCTGTCCCTTCCCTGACACCGCCCCCCGCCCCCCGCTATGTATTCCCAACCAGACGTCCTGCTCTGTCCCCAGAAGCAGGGACGCCCCTTCCATCGAATGGGGTGGCCACGCCAGCCCTCCTCGTCCAGTTACTCCAGGCTTGCATCTCGCCAGTGCCCACGTTTTCCAAAAGGAATTTGGAAAGCACCGCACGCCGGGCTCCTAGAGGCTCCTCTACCCCAGATCACAGCCCTGTGACCGGCACCACCGAAGGGCCTTGGGGAGACGGCGTCTGGGGAGGAAGAGAGAACTAGGAGAGCCAGTGAGGAAGCGGAAGGAAACCTCAACCCTCGCGCGGGTGATGGGTGAGGGTCACCCCCTGGAACTGAGGACAGACCTCTGAGTCCAGCAGGGACAGCAGCCTCTGCTCTGCCTTCTCACTCCAAAAACCAGCTCTGAAAGAGGCAGCACTTCCTGCAGAGGCCCCTCCCCGCCGTTGCCCCTGGGTGCTCACTTACAGATTCAAGGCGTATCTGCAGACCCACTTCCCCATCAGCCCTGCCTTCCTACTCCCAGGCCTGCCTGCCGCGAGGTGGCCCTACCATTGTCTGTGCCGAGCTCCTGTCTCAACTGGCATGACTTCCCCCGCCGCCCGCAGGTGGCACTGGTGCCTGAGGAGCCGTCTGCCCACAGAGTCCTGCACCCCTTAACCTGGGGATCCCAGTTCTTAGGAAGCAGCAGAAACTTCCCTCCCGCCATCTCTTTGGGGCTTGCCTGAGGCTTCTCTCCTGTTGTCCCCCAACTCCTGTTAAGCCGAGGCAGCCAAGTCTAAACGGCCCATCGGCCGCCTGGTTCCATCCTCTGGGCTTGTAAAGAGCTCTCTCTCTGCAAGTCCTGGCTCCTGTCCGGGGTGGCGTGCTCGGCACAGACGGTCCTGGACTGAGAGGTCTGAGCAGGGGGCAGCCTTCAGGACCCTCACCTCCAGCAGGGCCCGCACGGCAAGACTTTTTCCATAAGACAAACAATTAAACACAGAAACAACCCTAACCTCTAGGCCAGGGGTCCTCAAACTTTTTAAACAGGGGCCAGTTCACTGTCCCTCAGACCGTTGGAGGGCCGGACTATAGTTTTAAAAAAAACTATGAACAAATTCCTATGCACACTGCACATATCTTATTTTGAAGTAAAAAAACAAAACGGAACAAATACAATATTTGTATTTGCATGTGGCCCGCGGGCTGTAGTCTGAGGACCCCTGCTAGGCCTTTGTTGATGACTACAAATGCATTCCTCAATTTACAAGCGTGGGCAAGAACTTACAATCATGATGTCCACGAACAAAGCCCTCAGCTGGGGAGCAGAGTGAGCTGGGCTCGTGGGACAGATGTGGATTGACTGGAAGCAGCTGATCCCCTGAGAGCAGAGCAAGAGGAAGCTCTAGAAGCTCTAGAGGGCGGCTTCCTCTTGCCGGGATGTGGGACCGATTATTTAGGGCAGCGGTTCTCAACCTGTGGGTCGCGACCCGTTTGGGGGTCGAACGACCCTTTCACAGGGATTGCCTAAGACCATCGGAAAAACATATATAATTACATATTGTTTTTGTGATTCATCACTATGCTTTAATTATGTTCAATTTGTCACAAGGAAAATACATCCTGCATATCAGATATCTATATTATGATTCATAACAGTAGCAATATTACAGTTATGAATTAGCAACGAAAATAATGTTATGGTTGGGGGTCACCACAACATGAACTGTATTAAAGGGTCGCAGCATCAGGAAGGTTGAGAACCACTGATTTAAAACATTGGGCTTCGCGCAGGGGGGCGGAAGTGGGTGGGAACCCCTGACCCGGGAGCAGGACGGTGTCGCCTCCCCAAGCCTGGACGACGGTTTCTCCACCTGCCCAGTCCCATCCCACCCAACCCAAACCTCCTGGCCGCTGAGTGCTGGGCTACGCAGGAAACAGGATCACTAAGATCAGTCAGCAATTGCTTTATGTATGTGTGTGTGTGTGTATTTTATTGATTTCAGAGATGAAGGGAGAGAGAGATAGAATCATCAATGATAAGAGGGGATCACTGATTGGCTGCATCCTGCACATTTCCTACTGAGGATTGAGCCTGCAACCCAGGCATGTGCCCTTTACCAGAATTGAGCCAGGGGCTCTTCAGTCTGCAGGCCGATGCTCTACCCACTGAGCGAACCGCTAGGGCTAGCA